GGGCGCCTGACGCGTGGCTCTGGCTTCTGATTGGTCGATAAAGCCTGTTCTGTTGTACCAGTCTTTTACCTATTAGGGCTCGGGTATTCTACATATTGTAAAAGTAGGGCGAAGCTAGCCCAAAGCAGGAAAAAAGCGGGAGACTGTGACGATGGCATATATTGGCGTATTAAAAAAATTATACATAGACCCCATATATTATAAACTTTACAATTGAATTTATAAAATACCTACGACAATTATAATGCAACCTTTTCTTTTGAAAAAAAAAATTATTCCAGCCACGAAACAAATAATTTAATGTTTTTAGGAAGGCAACTATAAAAAACTTCTAAAATAACATATAATTAATCGCTAATACATTTCCATAGCATGCAGATACTTGTTAAAATGTCACTTCGTGGAAACGGTATGGCTTATTACCACTGTGCACGTTGTTGAAGAAAATTAAATACTTGAATTTGTACTAACAACGCTGCGTTGAATGAAGTAAAGGTATACTATAGATGTACGACTGTGTCTCCATATGCACCAATTTCGTCAATATTTCAGAGAATGAAATTACTGCAACTGAGATGCATGGTTTCATATGTAGCTGACTAAGGAACTGAAATTTGTGTGTTACTAAATTTTAAATTACATGACATTGACTACGACATACTTTAAAATAATTCTAATGGAACTACAATGAATTTTGCATTTGTTTATGCTTTCCTTTTGACTTCCGGGAAATTCGAGGTTCTGTTCAAGGTCACTTACTAACTAATAATTTGACGAGTCGATATTATTTGTTTTCTTAATTTGTTTTTATGGTTTGCTTCTCATTTCACTTGTGAATTAGTGAGCACTATTTGTACGGTAATGTTAACAAGGGGGCACAGCCCCTGAACTGCCCCTTTTACCAAATTATTTAATTGTGTTGTCCTACGTCATCGTCACTCCAAAATTTGTCTTTGCTGCGTGGAGTTTGCATGGTGGCATGTTGCGGGCTTATCCTCCTTCAACTTAGTAGCGCGCGTATGTCAAAAATATATTAAAAGCCTACTTATGCGAATTTATTACTATGGAAGTAATTCGAATGTTAATCTTTCAAGATTATCGAACAGGTCGTTGAGCAAGTGTTTGGCCTCGGTGATCACGGTTGCACAGAGTATTTGCTGTACCCTTACCGCGTGTCATGTCGTTCTTTTCTACGATCGTGTAGAACAACGTCCGTCCACAATGTTCCTATTTCACCTCTATCTCAATAAACATTTCAATGCCTACTCGAGGTTTTTACTCGAACCGAGTTCTGCGTCGTTTTCATAAACTATTGATCTTTTTCATCTTGTTATCCTTATCAGGCTTAACATCCATGCAGTGCACTGGCGTTCTTTACGACAGGGCCGGTGTGCCCGAAGTTATTGAGATAGCTGTACCAGTCGCAACAGGGAGTGGTGACACCTCGTCGAGCGACATGATCCAACCTCTAGCTGAGTTACGGCAGCAGATCAACGAGACGATAACCGCGAAAATAGGATCCACAGCTGTCAAACAGGGTAACCTACTTATTGTCGCACCTACGTGTTTTGCACTTCTGCCTATGCCACACGTCTTTATTCGCTCATGGTTTTACTTGCAATTTCTACAACCCCTGCTTACGCCACTATGCCTGGTACTAGCGTTGTTAGATTTTGCAACACTGCACACGCATGAAAGCTGCTTGCGCTCCGTCGATGTGTACAATGAATTAGTTGAACCACTGATTCTCCAATTAACCTAACTGTCATCTTTTTTCTCGCAGATACGCCAGACGATGAAGAAAATCAGGCGGATACTTGAGGCTGCAGTACAAATGTGCATTTGAAATCGACGGTTTTTGGTTATCTATTTACAAATAAATAATTCAAGTAAGATCAGACACATTTAGCAAAAGTAATCACAATTGAAGTAGACAACCAAGGAGTATCACCTTTCGGACAAAAGGCCCGACTTCAGAGCTTGGTGCGCCAGTTCTTCCACGGTCCTACAAGGAAACACTTAACGTAGAACTTCGAAACAAAAACATCGCGGAAAAATAGGCGTTCGGAAATTCCTTTTAAAGAGGGTCACGCTAACAGCCACTGGACTCACTGCTTGAGATGTCGCGCCATCTTGAGAGCCTCGTTGTACTTCCTGTGGGCTGTGACCAACGCCTCTCTTTGACTGGACCAAATCCGACAGGGGTTTGGCAATATGGTGCGCTGGTATAATTCTCGCCAGATTTTCTGTTAAGTATAAATAATAAAGGTTTTACTAGAGCGCCTAAGGGCAAAGTAACATTTAAGAGAAGCGGGAATTATTGACTAGACATGACGATGCTCTGTGGTTTGCTTGAGACAGTTTCGTGTGCCAATTGTATGCTTTTGGAGTCCGGCGAGCTACGACCTTGAAACCGCAAAACCCATTGACAACCTACTAGAGTGGGAGGAGGGGTTCACACAGTCCTATTTGGCGGATCGGCAGCGGGTACCCAAATTTGACCGAGGCCAGAGGTGGGGAAGAATTCTGACCGCACTATGTGCTATAAAAAAGGCTAGTTCGGATGGTCCGAGCTACGTCGTCATCTTGAGGTCACATTAGATTCGCATCAAATTTCTGTCGAATAATCGAATTGAGCCAAGGACTGCTAGATAGAAGCATTGCGTTTACACTATGCAGACTAGATGATTGTTTGTTAGATGGCTTGAATAAATGCTGGAGTGTTGTGTCGTCGTGTGTACCAATCAGAAAAATCTCAACCATAAATGGAGGATATGCACCAGCCGATGCCTGCTCTGACGCACGGCACTAATGAAAGTACTCGCACGACGTAGTGTCGCACTCCTCGGTTTCTGGTAAAACCAAAACAAGCCTGCAATTTACGCGGCTAAACGTCAAAACTTGTTTTTGGTGCCAATTACGAAGAGTCGCACTAAAACACAACTTTAGGGAGTACAAGCGCATGTCGAAGTGACCGTTTAAATTTACCTGCACAGAGCTACAGGTGGAAGTAATCCTGGGCATCAACAACTTCAAAGCAAAATGGCGTCTGCCAGTAAATAAACTTAGTTGATCGCAAGCGCCGATACCCGACGCCAATCCGGCCAGTGGAGACTCAATCGCTAACTAAATTATCAAACTGGGTTGTGTGGGTGTGTGTGAACTCACCAGGGCTTGGGGTGCAAGACAAGGCCAGCACGCGGTGGAGCTGACCGCAGCATCCTCTGGGCTAGGTGAGAAGAGGACGTTCCGCAATTTCGGCAACACCTCCGGTGAGTTGACGTAGGACCTAGAATGTGCACGAGGTTCATCTACGGTTCCCGAGGGAACGCGCTTCACAGCAGCACTAACAAAACGCCTAACTCGAGAACATTGTTAGATCACGCAAAAGCGGACTATCAGTATTGTCGCAAATGGATTTTCGTGAGTCTCAAAGTAAGCTCTGCCACCGATCGTCTTAGGAAACGAGACTGTCAACCTGGTACGTGGGAAGAATCACCCTTCAGCATATTTGAATCTCATCAACAATTGTTTGGAAAAGAATAAATAACACCATCTCGTTGTGGCCGCGAGAATGGTTATCCAAACTCGGGTAAAAACCAGCACAACGAGGTGGACACAATCGAGTGGGGCTTAACTAATTGCGGATACCAACGGCTAGACAACCACACTGATCTACAGCCGTTTACGCAGAAGTTAGACTAGAAAAATAAGGGATCCAATGCACACACACCAGAATGACACAGTGGCCCTTGACAAGTGCAGGGAATTCCTTGCTGCATCGCAGTCCCCCAAGAAGGTTCCTAAAACGAAAAAGAGGCTCAATTAACGTTGTTGGCCCCGACCAATCGTTTGCCACGGCAACAGCATTATCAGGTGACCACGGTCAGTTGATCCAAGGGGCAAAGTGAAAACTGGCTTAGGAACAAAATAATAACTAACCGAACTCCGACACGTAGACATGCTCCGCCAATAGCAGAAGGAGGTCATCGGTGAATTCAAAGGATCCCGGATATTGACACAAGATCTGAAAAATGCAAACAACACCTTCCAGGGTATTTTGAGTTCCTATAGAAAAGTGAGGAGCTATTGCAGACCAATAGTACCTGCCAAACGCAGTCCAGGAACAACAGGAACACCGGAGAACAGTCTGAAGAGGAGGCCGGTTCATTGGAGGATCGAAGAGGAGGCAGTAGGTGGGAGCATCGATCGGGGAATGGGTGGCCTGAGGACACCCATTCACGTTGGATGAGACTCTCGAACCTGGGCACCAATGAAAAAAACAAGCAGTAATTTGTGAACAGAAGAACACGTGAAAGAAAAGGGGACAGGAGTGGTAGGGCAGATGACGCACCCGCGTATAGTACGGGCGTGGGGTGAGAGGATGACTTGGATGAGGGAGGAGACGAGGAGGCTTCGGTCGCGACCCTCCCCACTGCCGACAATCAGGACGGCGGCGCCCTGGGTGGCCATGGCACCGAGGCGCTCGTTCAGCTCGGCCAACTCGGAACTGGAGGCGGAGAATTTCTGCGTCAGCAATGCCTTCTCGCGGTCCAGCTGTTGACGCGCGGGCTGATCTCGGCCGTCGAGGGCGCAAGCACCGGCCACGGCCACGGCGAGGGAGTCGCGCACCAGCGACAACCACGCGCTCGTCTTCTTGATGCTGACCTTCAAATAGAACGGGGAGGCCGGGATATCAACGACAGCACTTCAGTTCGCCGTGAAAACATGCGTCGTCTGTGGAACTGGTGAAAGCAAACCAAGACCATCGCCAGACATCGTAAAGAGCCACTTCACGAATCAGATTGACACAATGACGCGGTGGATCGAGAAAACAACAGTTTTTTACAGATCTAACCTAATCAAATTACTTGAGTAGGTTGATGGCCTCCGTGATAAAAATCTACAACTTCGCGTACGTTGACTAAATCCGCAGTTCCATGTGCGCTGCGGCGGCTCAATGTATAGAAGAGATATGGGGCTAACACGAATGTCGAGTTTTTGGCAGCTTAATCAAATTACTCGAGTATGTCATCTGGTGTGCTAACAAGCTGTTTTGATTATTTAAAAACCATGTATACACAACTAGAACCAAAATATGCAATTGAAAGGCCCCAATGTGGGTTTTCGAAGTGATCACCTTGACACCAGCAAAGGCCTCGCCGTTGGCGCTAGTCGCCTCGTCCACGGAGCTAATCGTGCGAGATGCCGAGGACAAATCCGCGTTACTGGTTGGCAAGAGGCCCGGCAGAGTGTAGGTCGTTGATATTTGCAGGGGGTTGAATTCGGTCGGCCGTGTGATGTCTGAAATGACAGAGGGCAGGATTGACAACTTGACAAGGTGGCCTCTCGTCAGGGGTCACTGGCGAAAACAGACGAGGAAAAAACATCGCTACAGGAAACGCAAGGTGTCAGGCAAGTCCAGGGGGAAATGATGATTCGTGCCATGGGGTGAGAGTTATCCACTTAAAGCCTTCACCTCCGAACCTCGCTACAGAAAAGTGCGCTTCCTACGGTAGAGGAGTTTCAGTGGAATGAATAGAAGCGACTGTCACCTGTGACTGGCCGTGCCGCCTTCTCACAAGTACTAACACCAGGCTTGGATAGATTGGTCGGGCACAGAAACCACTTACCCTGAATGAAGTCGCCGAAGATGGTGAAAATCTCTCCGATTTCGGGCAAGGGCTTCGATGTGCGCTTCCACCTCTGGTCATACTGGTCGATGTCTGCGGCTGCGAGAGGCGACAAAGAGAGGGGTGATGTATCGAGTAGATGCTCAAGCAACAGCAATAATCACGGAAGCGATCAATTAGGCTACGTAACAAGTAATTATCTTATACAAATTTATACTAGCTACAAGATAAAGATCATGTCAAGAGCCGTGTTAGTAGAGGATCAACCACGGGAGATTCAAAAACCAATATTAAACGGCGATGGATCATCAAATTACGAAATTAAAAACCAGCCACGCGAATCGCCAGGCATCAGAGGTGTCAAAACGCACCAGATGAGGCGACTAGCAAGCAGACGCAAACAGCGATCTGAGCTGCACATAGCGCGAGCCACAAAAAGCATAGTTTTGTCACGCCATGTTTACCTAGAAGCACGAAACCGCCAGCGTCTCGAGGAGAAGATAGGACCGCTAACTAACTACTACAAATCCAGTAAATCTGTTTGCGTGGCAACGAAACGGGCATTTAACGTAAGTTGTTCTTTCTTAATTCAGTCGGGAATAAGTGAAAAGAAATCGCCATAATTACTTCTGGGTTGCTAGGTTGGTGTGGTGAAAAGATCACTCTGATCATCCAATCCCAGCAGGGGTCGCGCACAAATGTTACGAAATGATTCACCACCCGACTTGCACTTGTTCAACCAATCGACTTAAGCAACATCAAGTCGACGCCACGAGATTAAGTCATTGGAAGAAGTGCACCCAAAACGCCAACCAATCACGATGGCCTCAAGTCCGCTCCTTCGAAATAGTGGTTACGAAGAGAGGAATAACGCCATTGCACTGGATACGATTCGTGTCGGACCAACGCCTGAGCACAAACAATCGGCTTAACGACACAACAAAGAACGATGTGCAACGTTACAACCCCCATGGGAGCTCTTGGCGTGGAACTAACACCCACTAGCAGTAAGCACAATGACGAAGCAGGGAATTAAACGTCTGGTTGCACACTTACGCATGGGTTTTACGATGAACAAAAGCATAAAGGGTGTAAGAAACGGGACTGCCCAAGGTAATGGTAACGACCACCCGGACACCCACACGTGATACGTCGCTGTGAGAGGCAAAACGTGCTGGCAGTGCCACTAACCTCTAAAGTAGCGCCTGGTTGGCCAACGCTTGTGGATACCTACGGGCCGATTTGCTTCTGTAATTGGGGCCAGATCCCGGTGTCGCCTGTGTTCTACAAAACACAACGACACACAAATTAGCAAACCTGGTGAGAGCCCCTACTTGCCCTGATTCGAGCCCCCTGCATTGCCTGGGCGCTAGAACGGACTCCACTTTCAGCGAATCTACAAGCACCCGCACAGTAGACCATACCGATTTTGGGAGCGTGGACCTCAAGTGTGCACTTCTTATGACTCGATAACTGAACGTGCGTCCTTCGGGGTTTTCTATAATACCACGTGTAGAACGTGGCTGCGATTACATCACGGATACATGTTGGGTTTTAAAATGGGCCTTAAAACTTATAGACAAGATAAATTTCAGGGGCAAATCAGCTGGAAAGTGCGTATTCAATGTGCCATAACAAGATAACCGAAAATTCCAATGAGGATGATGGCTACGAAGGTGTATAAACACAAGCATAAGCCCGACACACAGTAACCCATGATTTTAATCTAGTAAAAAAGGATACTTTCAATATCGGTTGCCAACACGCTTAGTGGATTCCATTAATCGTGACTACGCTCATCATACGTTAAAGTTTAACGCGGTTACACGGCCTTTATCAAATAGCGTGTTAGTGCGCGATAACCTTATTGATGCCTATCAGCAACCCCGGTGCGCTGCGTTATCGTTCACCGGTCGCCCCGTAATGTTTTAATAGGTTGACAGATTGGCTTGAATTTCGACCTCCCAGCAAGTGATGATTCCAGACAGAAAAAATTGGATGTATGCCGCGCCTTCAAACTTATCGTTTTAAAAACACACTGAAACAAAAACGAAAATATATGCGGAGTAGCCCATGCAGCGCCTGTTGCGGTTCGGCGTATTTATTCTCAGGGCGCATTTCTGGTCAACTGCATCCAAGCTCGACTTGTATCAAAAAGACGAAGCATTCTAGTATTTGCTTCGGATGGTCAAATTATTACCGATTTTTGCTGTTTTCGATGATCCCGAGCTCCCACCGAAAGCGACGCTGCGCAGATCAATAACCAGACCCCGCCCACTGCTAGGTAGCATGGCCCCCAGCAGTATTTCGTTGGTACGACATCGCTGAGCCGAGCTAGAAGTTGTTAGGAGGGACGAAACAAGAGACAAGTCGCCCGAGTCTGTGTTGGCTTTGTTTGAGGAGCGGTTCAAGGCGGTTAATTCGCCCGCTGTTGCTAGAAACGTCTGAAAAGGAAGAGGGCGAATGGGAATGAGGCAGGGACCCACGCCGGATTTGGCTATCCAACCCCCACGACTGAAACACCTTTGGAATCTAATATGAAAAATACTAAACACATCCAAGAGCGTAACGCAGAGTCACAGCATGGTGGAGAGGAGCATTAGACACTACCTTCAAAACTGAGTACCTAAACGCTTTGGAAATGCAAACACATTGGAGATGTACGAATTGAAGTTGGTGAAGGCAAGACAACACAAACGAGTTCCCACAAAGTAACAGGAAGATTCACGTACGGATTTGTTGGCGTGGAAGTATTTGATGACGGGAAATCGGCGACCATGTCGGCAGGCCGCGGCACCAACTATGACGTCGTCGTCCACACATCTGGGGACGACAACACACTCCGGGTAGCTTGCGCAGACCTGAAAGGGACAGTGGAGAGTGGTGTGAGACAAGGAGACCCTTAGCGGCCCTGAATGAGGTCACTTTAGACGCGGTGACTACCTGGTAGTTGGCGTTGACGTGGCTAACACGACATATACCTGCGGCGATCTCCTCTGCAAAGTCACCTTGTGGCGAAAAGGCCTTCCATCCATTCGCCACTACGTGAAAGTCTTCGAGTTTATGGTCGCTCCAAGACGGCGTCGGTAGTTTGGCTGGAGTGGCCGAAAAGGCAACAGGCAAGTAACAGATCCACACAAAAATGACTGCGTTTAGGTGTGCTGCTGGCTTAGAATCTACCCGAGCATGGTGATACTGTTATGAGTTCAACCATTCAGGTAATCAGTAGGCTACACCGAGCTGAATATTGAACCAATGAAATAGCTGGTCGTAATACCGAAAATGTTGCACCAGAGTGCAACGGAGACGCACTATTCATACACTGGACGCACACTCATGGTTTCACGAAGAACGAGTGCCAAACGGTCGATTAGTGGCAGCCTCTGACACGGTTAGACACAGAAATGTGATGGCAAAATCCATTTTTGTTTTATTCCTGTCAAACACTGTAGTGAATCGTGCTGATTCACTTCCATTAACCCTGTCGTCGCATTCGCCGCCACAGTGACCTCCTTTTCGCAGCGGACCTATCGATACTACAAAAATGTCTGCTCATACACTCCTGGGGGTGTACCTTCGCCACACTATCGCTATCATTGATCCTACAATTCAGCCACTAGCACTTTCTCGGGTATCTGAGCGGAGTAGCCGCGCCAACTCCACACAGCGGCCCCGGTGTGGTAGAAAGCAGTTTCCAGTGAATTCACCGATAAGAGTTTGGCGTGTGGACGGCTTACAACAACACCATCGATGAATTATGGTCTGACAGTAACATGTTAACACGCTTCTATGCGCTAGACATACTGTAATCGGAGAGAGCCTTGTATATGAGCTCCTGCTCACTTCGAGTAGGGACGCTGAACTCGTAGAAAAGAAACGCCTTCGTAGAAATGCCGACGGTGTACCAGGTAGGTGGAATGTGGCTTGCGAGGTAACGTCGTTGATTTGAGGAACCTCCCACAGAGGACTGTACTGAGGATCCCACAGACGCGGGTAACGACGATGAAAATTGAGGGGAAATCAATACAAGCCGGTCGATGTCTCGACAACTCACCTAAAGTCAGACAGAGTCGAAATACGGCTCATGCATTGGACCATATCGTGCGGTCTAATTGGATAACCCGGTACAGATGGCGCAAGCAAGTTCGATTACAGGGGTTGCTAAAACTTATCTAGATGACAACTCACTCTCCTATTAATGCGGGAATTCCCAAAAAAGCTTAATTTTGCTTCAGCGAACTTACTTTACAAACAGATTAATAAACTTGTCAGTCATGAGTAAGAGGTCGAAGGGAAAGTAATATGACGAATATAATCAAGCGTCGTTGCACAAGTGTTCATCCGACCCCTTCAAACAAAATTTAAATCACGAAACTTCCTATTCATTAGGAAATGAAGAAAAAACGGGACAATGTAGCGCCATTCCATTCACAAAAGTCTGATACAGTTATATATGAGTAGAAAGAAGAAGGACAAAATTATGTTACCTGGAACAGTTTTTCATCAGAAAAAACCTCGATCCCATTTATGGATACTTTAACTTCGCCTTGGAGCCTAAAGCCATTTGGTCCACAGACAATGATTCCACCACCGTTCACTACAACCTAGTAAATAAAGAGGGGAAACGTGGTGACTTAGGACAAACGTGATCAAAATAAACAAATCAGAGAATCAAGCTGGCCTAAAGTAAAACTTTGATTTGCTCTATAATTGGCTGTTACTACAAAAAGCACTTCTCTTTTGGATACAAATTAGAACAAGGATTTAAACGGCACTATTCCATTAGCGCTTAAAACCATGGAGTTGCTGTAGAGTTAAAAGCAAGTGCAGCGACGAACAAATTACGCATTACCAAAGGCACCTTCAAAACGACAGATCATTGATAAGATTTTAAATATTTGGGCGCAAACTAGAAATAACGAGGAAGGGAAAAGGAAAAACCGCTTTGGTTCCATCTGGAACATAAATTATGCCCAAGTTTTTATGCAGTATTGACACATCAGTGAAACATTACCGAGAAATCTTCCCAGGGACGCTATGAAAATTTTAAGGAGAAAAACTATGAAACAAGCATAAGTAGAAATAAGAAAGAATTTAAAGGTTACTAGGAGTGTAGAAAAATCTCGCAAGGAATGCTGAGTAAAAAAAGTAATGAAAAGGTGAAATATTGCATAAATTTGTCGAAAACGGTACGAGGACAGCCAACTTTTGACAAAAATTGCGATTATTTCAGTTGGTGGCACAAGAGAGAATACTAGGTCCCAAGAAGGTCAAAGAGGATAAGGAGATTGTGAAGTCGTTTGGTTACCACTTATCAAAAAACATATGGAAAAAAGCATAAAAAAGGTTAATAATGAGTCGTGCCGAAAAAATCAATTAACAATGTACAGAAGATGATTTTACTTCTATTCCACACAAAAAAAAGCGTGTCAAGACACGATCTTAAGCATAACGAGAATCAGAAGGCTAAAGCTGTATTATGGGCTGCCATTAATGAAGAAAATGTGCGATAAAATTGGAAAATAATTGGATTCATCTAAGCGAAAATTCCGTAAAAACGCGGCATCTTTCTAGCGAAATTAAACAATCCTTACACCTGTTAATAACTCTTGAGTTTTGTTATTTGCAGCAACTGCAAAGCTATAAAAATAACGAATTTTTTTATGTTTTGATGCCTAGTTGTGTGACAATTTATGCCCAATGTTTCGGATCAAAATTCAAGCCCGAATACACATGCATAAACAAGTTCTCTGATCCCACAGTCGTCAGTCTTCTATGACAAAAAACTTGTGTATCATCAAGAACCATAAATCTGCTTAAAGCGCTATGGGAAATAATCGTTTGTAAGGTGTGCAATATCTAAGCAATCAAAGCCTTGATGTGAGTAAAATGCAAGATGGCTTGTGTAGCCACTTTCTGATATTACTCTAGATTTAAAATCAACTCAGTTTTTATAATCGTTTGCAAACTACTTAGTTTGATACAAATGCTGTTTAGGCTGCTCATTTACTTCAATGTTTGCCAAGATTTTTCAACGCAAATAAATTAAATAATTGCTAAGTCATTCATTTGGATTACGACCACTATAAAGAATCAATTTACAAGAGTATTTCGCCATTTATTTCTACGAAGAAAATCCAAACGATGCTTTTAAGCAGTTTCATGTAAAAAATTTAAAAAATGGAAAAAATAAAGCAATTTGACGATACGATGGACAAATGCATGCCACTAATGAATAGTAGGATGACGCATGTTTCGTAACAACAACGTGCCACGAATGCCACCTTGTGCGCCCTAAAAGACTGTTCAGGGCTGGTATCTTGTTCCTATACTTTTACCCTTTTAGGCCTGCCTAAGAGTTGGAATGTGGATCTTAGCGAATCTCTCGAATTCTGTTGTCAAGTTGGACTTCTTTCCCCTCTATCCGTCTTGTGATTATCGTCTGAAACAAATATTTTAGAGTTTACAGGCTTCGTCCCGTACTGTACTCCGTGTGCTTCGCTCGACTTGCCTCTCTCGACAACTCACAAGAAGTTCTTTTATTTCCAGGGTCGGATCCCAGCTCGAACGCTACAAAAGTCCAATGTCAATATCAAAAGCTTATCTACATAGGATTGCCAATGATAGTTAAGCTGAGCTTGGGCCTAAGTAACATTAATTTCGTACTCTGAACTTTTAAAATTGAATTTTTATAGCAATATTTTATTTTTAAAAAGGGTCGGGAGTGATATTACATCATTGTCTACGCGTCACTTTAATGCCACAGAGTTTATTTATCAGCAAACATTAGCACAGCCGTAGTTTACCTACAGAGGCTTAACACTAAAATATTTCAAAAAATTTACCATCTAAGAGCCCATTTAGACGGTTTGCTTGAGCGTAAGAACAACTCTCAATCCTAAAAGTTAAATTGAATGCACAATTAGGCCAGATTTTCAGCATAAAACAAACATGGAAAAAAATCTTTTGTGATTATGGCGAGTGAAATCGATACGGCACGAAATTTTAATATGATTTGATTTGTCATGTCTATAATTTTTCTCATTACCCATGCATTCATTTTCATTAAAATGTAATAACGATTAAAAAATAAGTGCTGACTTCTAAGGGGGTTTAAAAACAATTAACTCATATTCCGTATTTTAGTTAAGGACAGGAATTGGGAAATTCGATTTCACTTATCAAATCAATAAGGTAAAATTTTGGACTTTTAATCATCTATATAAAAATTTGTTTACATATTTAATAATTCAGAATAATGGCATTCTAGCATTTATCTAGTGAATTAAGAATGTCACGTGTGAGTTGAGCCATACGAAATCAACTAGTTTTGTCAGGCAACGTGATTAGCAGAGCTTTTAATTAAGGTTATTTTTATACAAACGTACTTTAATGTTGATGTGTTGGCTGCCTTATTTTTTGAAACTGGCGTGTTTTAGGGACATATGTGATAGACGTACCACTATCCACCAGTCGACTTTAAGTGGTTATAAAGTGCGCGGCGGTTGGTCCGAATTACGCCGGATCTTCGTTGGTCACCTTGGTTTTCTAATTCCGTGGATTTGCGGGGTAAATCCACAAGTTTTCTATTGAAATAAATTTATATTAGACTTATCATTACGCATGAAAAGCTGCGCATTTGGTGCTGCTACTTTCATATTTTCGTCCAATTTCCCGTTTTGGCCATTGCCTGTGGATCTTTTTAATCAGGGTTGTTTTCGTTTTCATTTTTGAAAGTAGCGTTCTTTTTTCTGAATATTTTCGTTATTTTTCTTAGTCTTTTCATTGTGTTTGTTTTTTTATACTCTCATCTTTTAGTTGTTACGACTGCTCTTGACCTGTTGATTCTTTTATTTGCAGGTGACTGATGGAATTAAGAGTCGGAAATCGATATCGATTAGGCAGGAAAATCGGGAGCGGTTCCTTTGGTGAAATTTACCTTGGTGAGTCATATTTTGGCCGAGCTGTGCATTTGCGCCATTTGCAGTCTTGTTTACCGAGTTTTCTTTGTTTCTTTTTATCAATAATTCACCTTCCATTACTCATGTGGAGCCATCGCTGGAATTCTTCATTTTTTGTTACAGCGAAGTCGAGACAAATTTTAATCGATATTAGACACGAAATCTGTCATCGTAAAGTCCTTCTTTATTCAAAAAATCTTTTGTTAACTAAGATCTTAAGTAATGGCTAATCATAAACCCATTTATTAATGAAATTTAACTCAAAACATAACTATAGTCTGTCTTCCACACAGTAGCTATCAGTAGGGGATACGTTGGGTTTTGTAAATATAAAAATGCATCTGTGCGTGGACATGGACGCCAATATTACGCCGTTTTACAATCATTTATCACATGTAAACGTGCTCGCGTGTGCGTGCATGTTCGTCCAAACGATGTTCACTCTATCCGTTAGTCTGCCGAATCGCAGGCCTCAATTTGCAGTCAACCGCTAGCCTCGTTTCGTAGTCGCAGCTCTGCGTTCGTGATTTTAGGCCACTTTGCTTTGCTCATTGTTTTCACAATTGTGCGTGCAGCAAAGTAGTTCATTTTGTCAGGTTAACGATTCTCGTGACAAGATCGATGATAATTGCATCGTCACAGTCACCGCCTGCGCTTACTTGTTCGGTTGGTGCAAATAGCAAAACAGTGTAAAGTCTGTACCAGTAAATTATTTTGGAATTGAATAATTTTGTTTTTGAAAGGTAAGGTTATTCTATGTGCCTGGGAAGCTATTAGATTTGATCAGCGTGGGTGCTTGACAAGTCTACTTGGCTATCGCATTTAGCAGTTTAGTCGCTTCAACTGACGCTACACCTTATAACCCCATCGCCAAATCCTGCTGATTTAAATGAGTATGTCATTGGCTACTATTCGGTGCAAGGAGATCTGTGCATATGTGCACGGTTATACTGTGGACAAGAAAACACTAACAGACAAGCTTGTTCGCCAATTCGCATAGCCTAAGCATGTCTGATCCGAATCGATTTCCACCCTTTGATGAATGCGGCTCATAAGTGACCTAGTCATCTTTGATGTCATTTGCCTATGGGCGTGAAAAAATACCACAATTTTGTGTGCGCATATCTAACTTGTAGTAAATTCTTCTAGTTTGCTCTAATGTGCAAAATCGATGAAGTGCTGGAAACCGACTTCGTTTAGAGCTATTCCTTAGAATTGCATTAGTCATGCCTTTTTTACCGGCACTAGTCAGTTCACGTGGTGTTGCTTCAATCGATGGACATGATTTTGAAACTCCCATTTGATTGTGCTTTTCTGCGTTAAAAGGATCCACAAATAGGTGTGACCCAAGGTTTGAATTAGATCTCTGTTAGTACGAACCAAACATTCGCGGGCTGGGAACGGTAGAGTTTAATTGTGCCCCCTCCCCTCATACCTTGTGCCTCCGCGCTCACAACCCACACGGCCTCTCGTGGCAACAGGTCATGCGAACACTGAGTCATAACGGTAGCCCATCACCCGTGTCATTAATCTCGTTCACACCTGGACACGATGCAGCTGAGGCGATTTGGATTGCGTTTAACTACGATCAAATCACATTTGATCAACCTTCATGTCGAGCAGCGTGTACAGGATCCGTCTCAAAAGCTCAGCGGTTGTGCCCTATGACCACCCCCTAAAAGGTCTATGAATTTGTAAGTAAAACGAGTCATCATCTTCCTACCCAACTTGGTTACCCCCTCAACCCCCCTTCCCTTTTTGTCTGCTCCGGAAATTCTAGTTGCAATTCGAAAGTTCCCGGTCGTTAGCCTGGCCTTCAACTGTGCTTGAAATGTTAACCCCTACCCACGCATCTTCCTTTTACGCATTCGTCGACAGCGTTTCGTGTGTGTGTACTTCATTGTTTGGACCGTGCGTGGGTTCTGCCTGTTGGCTTTGAGCGGCGATGGCGACGACAACGGCGACTTCGAGGTTTGTTTACACGGACGCACCTGCATACACGTGTGTGTGCGTGCATGCGTCCGTGGGTACCGCAGAAGTGCACTTGGTGTGTGCGCCCGCGTGTTCCACGCGAAGGTTTACGCGCACAAATCGGTGTGAATGTGATTAGGTAAGCCCACAGGGCGCCTGGTCGATTTCCCTGGTGTCAGTGTGTGTGTGTGTGCACCCACCCTCTCCTGCTTAGTCAGTGGTCGTCATCGTCCGTGTCGCTCCCATCTTTCATGGCTTGTTTCTTTCTGTCCCCGGTGTACTAGATTGCCATCACAGTTTATCTTATGTCCGAGCTACGCCATTCAGGTACTGTGTGCGTCTCTTAATGGTTCGACAACACGTCTCTAGTGCGCGCCTTTTTGTCAGAAATAGCTGTGCTGGTGCTTTCGCGCGTGTGTGTGTGTGTGTGTGTTTAATTCATCGAAGCCCGTTCACTAGGTGGCTCAACCAACTTGTTCTGTGTTTACAAAGCAGCGACTTCAGACGTGCACCAAGGCGTTAGGGTGGGGCTGTGGTTTTTACCAGCTGAGGTCGTATGCGAGACAAGGTATGAGGTAAGGGGTCGATTAATTAGTCAGGTGTGGAGGCGATAGGCGTAAATAAACAAACTTCACCACTGCTGCCTTTACAGATTAATCAGCTTCACTGGTGGTATTGGTGCGGCACTATATGACACAAGAAGTGGACTTCCGCAGTCCACAAAGACTATATCTTTTGACCACCAGATCTTGTCGTTTGAAGTGCCTGACACTTCATGGGGCGTTCTGTAGATTTCCTGTTCTTCGCGTTGCAAAAATATGCATATTTTTGATTTTTAAGATAACTTTTTCATCTGATAAGTAGGCATATCTATGGTAATCAAAGTTGCCAACTTAAGGTCGTAGCCAGTGCGCGATTGCCTGATTTTATATTAATTTTAACCTCGAAATGTAACCCCTGTTCCCTTGGTGGACCATAACCTCACTGAACGCACGTCCGACCGTGAAAAGTGACGTGACTGGCAGTTCTACGTGGGCCTTTAAATGAGACTATGTCGACATTCCTCTTAACTGTATCACCAGCCACCCGCAGGACTGCATATTCACATCACACCGCCAGCTCTGTAGTCAAACTAGGTGTTGTGTGGCCATTAGGTTTGATTGCTGGAACACATGTGACTGTTCCACACTTGTTGCCTGAGAAAATTTCCTAACCTGCATCTCGCGTAAATTAACACGTTGAGGCGCTCGGCGTTTGAAGGTGCGTGCGACATCCACTCGTGGTCGTGTCGTCATGACTACTCGCCTACTCGGAGATCTGGCTTGCTCGTCGTTCCTAAGAGTTTACGATCGAGTGGTACGCCGTCCATTTGATTGGTTGCCTCCAGTGTCTAGGTTGTCTGAGCCTAATTTTGCGTCACATATAGGGATCATGCACAACCCCCGTGAGTCTCCTTCATCTAGCCGTTGATTGGTTCCACGTTTGTCACAAACATCCATGAAAACCATGTAGACTGGGTTTATCACGCCATCATCAGAAGTTGTAGGAGTTGCTGCCTGAATGTGTAGGCCCAGTTACGCTACTCAGCTGTGCAGAGAAAAGAAGAGTACCCTACGTGACGGAAGCACCTTTTTTTCTGTTCAAAGCCCTCGTAGGTGATCTTGTGAGGCTCACGGTGCTGTAGCAATTCAAGGTGAAGGGTCTGTGTGTGGAGGGTCATCCAGATGTCACTCTACCTGCCGAACTGGTTACCAACGTCTCTTCGGGAAGTTTTTCCGTTTCTAGGACCTCTTGTAACTCAAATCTCCAGTAATAAACACTCGGCACCACCGTAAGCCGCTTCTTTGTGCGTGAAATAAAACTGCACTGGAGATTCTGAGGTGTAATGGGTGGTTGCAGTCGTGCAACTACACATGAAGGAGAGGAAATTTCCACGGTTTCACACGTTGCCTTGTTGAATCGATTTAAGAGCTGAAAGTACGGGAACTGCGTATTTGCCTGGTGCAAACGCAAGGAAACACGACACCGACTCATCGAGCAAGTTCAAGAGCGCATTTTTATAACAATGAGCCGTGTGGAAAAGTCATGTAGGCACGCAAACAACTTCTCGCAGCTTTTGCCGCGCTTTCATGTGCACCTTTTCAAGTCATTCCGCAATAAGTGGTTTCTTTCTTCATCCTTCGGCGGTACCAGGCGTGGTTTCCTTGATGAGTAAAGGAAACGAATCGGCCTAATTAAATGACAACCCCTTGAAGATGACAGCTTCTGTGTACTTGCATCATGCTTTTGAGACTCGTGCACTGTACTCTTGCTTCAATTTCAACTCAAAAATCGCCGTATCCTCATTAACACTTTTGAATGCTACGAACACCTGGCCAATGACGTATTCGTGGACGACCAGCTGCCAGACCTTACCTCGAGGGTAGGTGGTTCCATTTGTCCAACTGACATCCGGCCGTCTATTAAATCCATGTGGCTGCCCCCCCTCTCACCCCAGATGTGAAACCGCCACGATTCGAGGACGTGCACTCGGTCCGAACGAGGGTCATTTGCGCCATCAAGTCATGTGGTACTCTCATTCTGATGGTGTGCTGGTGACATGTTTATGTTGTGTGGCTCTTCTATCATCGACCGCACTCACTTTTGCCCGTTTTGCGAGTCCCAATCACTTTTTTTCCTGCACCACGTAGTCGTGAGGTAAACTGTTTGCTAATGTGCGACAGCCGTGTGCACGCGCGTCAACCAGTCCTTTGAAGAAGCCTTTACTGCTCATCTCACCAGGGTCTTCTCTCGTTTGTGGCTTTTTGCGATTTTGATATGTCTCTAAATTGTTGAAGTTAACTGTTCTTGGAAGGCACCTAATTCATCAATTAACCTCTTCTGTACTCTTGAAGCTAGTTTGTGCAGAATGAGCCAGTCCCACCGACAACCACAGAATTCGCGGCAGATCCACCGTCTGCTTAGCGATTTTCAAACGAAATCGAGAAAAGTCACTTGCGACTTACCCTCGGTGGCATTCCTCACTATCCACTGGTGCGTCAAACAACGCCTTAATGAACGTGGCTCCATCACCTTCACGTCTGCTCCCATCGTCATATCGTCAAGTGTTCTTTTTCCTGCGTCTGTTTACGCTGCCTTGGTAACATCGTCAACAATGGTCCAACAGCGAGGTTTTTTGTGCATCCACGTGCTTGCATGTGTATCCGAACGCTCCACAACGAACCCATTCGTTTTGCTTCACCTCGAGGTGTTGAGTCGGACGGACGCAAATGCGTAACTTCTGGGTTGCATTCTGCAGCTAGCGTGACTGGCCCACCTCGACTTCACCCCCCGGTTGCTATGACAGTGGTGGAAAACACGCCGAGTTTTGATCGATGCGCAGCGGTGTTTGTGCACATTAGTTACCGCGGGCACAAGTCCTCCCCAGACCAACAAATGCAGCGTGTTTTTAGCTGTAAATTCGACCACTACACTCAACATCTCTTAAAGCTTTTGTGCCTCCTTACTACATTTCACCGCGCCTACTGTCGGCTGCTTACCAAGCAAATCGCGTTTTAGCTGCGTTAGTTGCGAGAGAGTGGCACCAAAGGAGGACAGTTTGACGTTCCACTATTCGCGTTTGTGACCGTGGCTCTATTTTTGGATGCATCTTGCACGATCTGTGCATGTGCACTTTGTAACCCACGAAACCTTGTTTGTATCACTGTTCGGCCGTTGTCCGGTTGCGCTTCATTTAGGGCCTTTCGCCCCTAAACTTCGTGTGTGTGTGTGTGGAATTGATCTTTTCCTGATAATCAACAACCAATCCCATCCCACTTTCTGGTCGTCATTGCACAGTAGTCGTCGCAACTAAGTTACATGAAACGCACGTGATCGGTCCAATAACGATCACGCACCAGGGGTCAACTCAACTTCTTGGACAGCCAGGCGTGTCCATTGGGGGAGCTGGTTTGGGCAACTATTAATCCTTACGGCAATCGTCTTTATTGAAAGATGCAAAAATGGTCTAACTAGGTTCATCCCCGCGGGGTTCAACTTGGGACCAGATCAAACTTCCACAGGCCTAGTTCAAGTTTGGGTATCCTCTCGGGAAGACTGTTTACATTAGTTAACCATCCCTGGCAGTAGGGGAACGTCTGTTCTGTGAAAACAGTAACCCGTCTTCCTCAGATATCAATTGTGTTTAGGTTCTCGTGGTGTCCATATGTTGAAGACCAACTTTGTTATGTAATTAATCCCGAAAAGTCTGCTAGCGTGTCTACGCGCGAATACGAAACCGAGAAATTTTATTGCAGGATATCTTTCCTTCCATCAGCACCGGTCACTCCGATTCGCGAACCGCTCTTTACGACTGCTTGCTTAGACGCGTCCAGCCGAATTGCGTTTATGGCGGGTTGTTTTCAGCTGGCAGAGTGCGCGTGGTACGTCGGATTGGAGTCTGTGAAGTTACCCCAGATTGGAAAGTCTGTCGTGCGTTGTGTCTACGTGTGTGTTTGCGCGTTGCCTTGCATAGCTGATTACGACGTGGCAATCACGTGGAATTCGCTGGGTCGATGTTGCCCTCCCATTGTCCTGTCAATGACGTCAATGGCTAGTGTCCAGTTCTGAAACATCACGTTTCCTCAGTCAAATCATTAATTTCTTTCCCCAAATAGTTTATTTGACCGTTCTTGTGTTCTCTGTGTGTGTGTGTGTTTTGCGTTGGCATGGTTTACACAAGATTTTAAATGTGCCTCTAATGTAGACAAGTGAACTCTAATTTGTTAAACTAAATCATAACCTCGGGCGCATGTTGGCGATGCAAGTGTTCGTTCCTAGTTTTTATTTCTGCTTTGAATATTTGTTTACCCACCAACTTTTGTTTGTGCAATCGTTGCCGGTTAACCGTTTTCTGTCTCCCAATTAGTGATTTATTCCACACGCACAAGCACACCCACACACGACTGTTTGCGCGCCAAACTCGTGTGTGTGTATTACGACAAAAACGACGCGCTCTAGGACGCGCTCTGCTAAGCAGCCAGTCAAATTCTCCACACTGAAATCGGACAGGTGTGGTCGGTGTCTGAATTTGTGTTTACTTCCACTGCCACCATTCGAGGGGGGGGGTTGTGCTGACTTCTCCCTCCACAAGATGTGGCTGTCTTGTCATCGATCGCAGGCGGCGTTGCGATTCGCTGTCAACCCTCCCGTATGGGGATCTAACTAATGAGCAGCTGTTGCGGTCAGTCACAGCATGCCTCGTTGCATCCACTACCGAAGCCTCTTTGATCTGGGTTCGCAGGTGCAATCTCCCACCAACTAGCGATTTTCCAGACGTCCTCACAGCGCTTATTTCCGCCGATGTGATCGCGGTTTTTGCCGTCAACGCCTGTGCGTGTGCCGCACACGCGTGTTAAAAATACTTTACAACCTCCTCTGGCTTCCCCCCTTACTTCTTGGCGTGCAACCGTCGTCAGGGCGATTGTACGCGACGGCTCAATAAAAACACATTCATAAATAAATCATGCTTCAACAAACTTGTTATGTAAAATATGTATTTCGATCCCGGGCAATTGCTTTTGTTGAAACCCGATGAGAATGAGGCGGTAATGGCAGTTCAAGCAAGTTGTGCTTGTGAACTAGACTGCGGGAGTTCAGGAATCACAGTCGTGTGCAATGTCTGCTTACCGTGGCCATGGCCAAGTTGCAAATTAACAAATGTGAAATTTTTTGTCCCAAACCACGGAAACTGGCGCAACCCCCTCTTGTAACTTCCTATTTATTTATGCCCGGGATATGTCTCTTGATTCCCAGTCGCTTGCTGTCTTTCCCAAATCATTTATCACGCAAACTCCACCCCCTTCTATACCCTAACTAACTCGTCAATTAATCACGTTTTTTGTTTTAGTCAAGTTCAGCTTAGTCATGGCGGACTGCACCGAGAATGCAGGCCATGGCTATTCCAGAACACTCCTCATAGGCGGTATCTTCAATTAGTAGCCTAAGCGCCCACGCACGAACGTTATATCGCCCAAATTGACACTCCTTTCACCAAGTTGAAAAGTCGTGCACGAAGCTATAGTCATGATTTCGTAGCTGAGGTTGTCAGTGAGCGGGGTTACGCAATATCCCCCACGTGGCCACTTTCGACGCTTTCTTTCTCTTATTCACTTCTTTGTCTTCCTCCAGGGACCGATATCTCCGACAACCACGAGGTGGCCATCAAGTTGGAATGCGTCAACGCCAAGCACCCCCAGTTGATCATCGAAGCAAAGATCTACCGGCTTCTCCAAGGTGGATGTAAGTCTCTCCACCCCCCCCCCCCCCCCCCCCCCCCCCCCCCC